TTGTAAGAACTTAGGTGCTGGGGGACAAAGGAAAATCCATACACTTAAAAGACCAAATACCTTTTCCCCATGTTTTATTTTAAGAGGAAGTAGACGAAATAAAACACGATTTTTTATTTCATATGGTATAGGGTGTTTGTACCACAAGAGGGCACTAAAACCATACTTAAAGCAGATCGTTAAGCTATTGCTGCATACATTACAGAACTAAGTCATAAAGTAAGCAAGTATGCATTGCTTTCACAAACATACACGCTACATAAAAGCATTCAGGTATCTTGATGGCATGCATATACATTCATAATGTACTCACACTGCCTCTACTTCCAACAGAGCGGCACAAAGCTTTTTGTAAAAGCACTATCCTGCCAAGTAATGAAAGACAGTGAGACTAAAGAAACTTGAAGCTTGAAACAAGTTGTGCTTCATGTTTTGAATACCATCATTAATAAAGTTTAAGATTTTGAATTTTGATCTCGTCTAAAAGAATGTGAAGTGCATGAGCTCGTAACAAATTGGAACTGTCAAGTCAGAGGTAGATGCTTACAGTCAGATAAAAATATTTTGAGTACAAATGACTTCTGCTCGTCCAAGCAGCCATTCTGTTTACACACATGAGGAAAAGTCCTATGCAACAGCAATTAAATCAGCATGTTTCAACGGCCAGCTGACCATTGCACTAAAAATACGCTTCTAGTATATTGTAACCTTTTTCATAAGGCTTGACAACATCTGAATGTTCACATCGGTCAATGAAGTGCCACAGGAACAATCCCTTAGGCGTTAGTTGGATACTCCTCTACAGACCTTATCACATGATAAAAGCTACTTGCAATTTTTTAAGCCATAAAGGTGTGCCAAACAAATCCTGGCAATGCACCATTTCAGTATCAGACAAAAACAATGTTGGCTTTCTCTGCTAGCTTAATGAGCAGTACAAAGCCAAAGTATCTCATTTCTACAGCTCTGAGAGTCGACCATGTTTTTCACATTAAGTTTTCTACACTTACTAGGCAAGTCTCCTGGTCCTGTTATTTGGGTGTCAGATACAGCTGCTCAGGTATCTGTCAAGCAACATAAAGTTTCTGCTACTTAACATGCTTCAGGAACTGACTTGCCAGTGACATAACAGCTGAACATTCAGTAGCAACACGCTTAACACTGCCAGGTCACCTCTAGAAGGACCACCATAGGATAATCCCATAACAATGAAGTCTTCTGACCATTTTTCTCAGTTATTTGAGAGTAAGGCCGTATGTGGGCTGTTGGTCCAAGTAGTGCAGGCATATGTAGCACAGCAGCACTGTTGCTGTATAGTATCCGTATTAGTTGCAACTGACTGAACTGCAGCTGCCTAAAATACATGCCATAGGTGATACAGGTGTACTGAATTTTGGACACTTCATACACCTCCTCCACAAGAGAAAGAAACACCAAAAACCTTTGCAGATTTAGAAATCCTTTTACAACGAAAACAAACATTTATATAAACTTCAATGTAGGAAGCAGAAGTTAAATAGAAAAGTATTGGTCTGAGGTTTTTAATTCCTCTTCTCATACAAGAACTGACTTGGGTTTGAAATATCAATTTCTATCTAGAACAGAGGTTAAGTCAAGGAAAAAAAAAAGTACCAGGCAGCAGTACAGACAGGAGCATATAAGCAAGCATCCAACAAGTCAGCATTAGTGTATCACACTTCCCAAGTCCTGTGCTAACAGCAAATGTCCCAACATGCTTGAGAAAATTCCTATTTCACCTATTTGAAATATACACCAGACACACACTGTAATAAAAAAATCAGACTATAAATTCAGATTTTTAATCCCATGTTCCAGCTCATGCTAGCGTGTAACTCCCACTGACCATTTGCTGGATTCTGCCGATGGCTCACGGCAGCAGAGCAAGGAACTCCGTGTCTCGCTAGTTAGTTCAGTTCTCGTGAATAGTGGCTTTTGACAGGCGAAGCAAAAACACAGCTATCACATGGGCCTACAACCCAAAGCACAGGCAGCCCTACTGCTGTTACTGTCAGAAATACTGAATGAATGCTCATCAAAACAAGATATTAAACCAGAGACATTTGACATTCCAATTTCTTGGTAAATTTTTCAGCGTAACATATCCAAATAAAAGGATATAAATAGTTATGACATGCCATCAAGTGCATAATAACAAGAGGACAAACCAAATTCAGTATCAGATGTCCCCAAGCAGCAACACGTGATCTGAAAGGCTGTGACAATCTCCTAAAGAAACAATCCAGTGATACTGGGATTGTCAAGCGTACATTTGATCCATGTACTTACAAATGTGCTGTGTTAGTTCTATACCTAAAGTCCCATTCAGAAACTGTGTGAAAGTAGGGTTCAGTTTGCAACTTGTCATCAAAATGTGCCTTCTAGTCTGTCGTGGAGCCAAACAAGAGCAGATTATGTTGCTTTATGAATCTTGTTAAGTCTACATATTAACATTTTAACAAATGTTGTAAGTGCAACAGGTAATGTTAAATATTAGCATCTAAATACAGTTGGTATTTTTTAGGTTCTACGTAGTGGTTGAGTAATTGTATATACTATTGCATTACGTATGTAAGGTCAAAATTCAAACTTACAATCTCTTTTCAATTGTTTTCTTTGGACTGAAGGATGAACAGAAGACTCCCAAAATTTCAGGATACTTGTAAGTGCGAAGTGTGACTTCTGGGTACATATTCTTGAAATAATTGTGGTTTTGGAGACTTAACCTCACTTTCATACAGCCTGTAAAGGTTCCTCTCAAGTCAGTTGAAATTTACAGTGGGGAAAAAAATATTTCCCCAAACCTTGTGAAAATAAGACAGGCAAATCTACCTCTCCATTTTATCATCATCAAGGTTGAATTAACCAGTATGTTTATTTACACTCTGCACAAGAATGTACAAAGAACATTTACACTATTTGTCAGGTTCATACTTTCAGGTTTCTTGCACTCAGATAAAAGACGACCTAAAGGATATTATAAATAGAAATGAAAAAGAAATATTAAGACAGGAAGAGTCCCAGAAAAAGGCAAAAATATAGAGTAAAATACTTAAATACTGGAATACGGAAATTTAATGAGCAAATTAACATGCTACAGCATATTCAATTCCCTCTTGATTTAGCAGCTTCACAGACTCCTTAACAAACAAAACCAACCCCAATGTACCAGATGAATATATTCACGCTTACTATGTTAACCTGTGGCCAAGCTAGCAAAAAAGGAAAGATAACACTTTTCTCATAAGCACTTTTGATATGGGTTTCTCTTCACGTTCAAGAAACATAAACTTCCTGAACGGCATAATAGTTGATCTCAAAATTAACATCCTGGATCAGGAATCAATGCAAACAGCAGCAAAGAATCAGCAAAACCACAGGAGTGTATTTTTAAGTATTACAAGAAGTTTAAGGAAGAAAAGCATACAAGAGAAAAGAAAGATGTAAAAGATCACTTTGGGGTTCAAATACAGCCATTGCTCACTACCATCTCAGTTCTGTGAATATACTTTTAAATTACTTTCTGATTAACTTCAAAAGAGAGTGGCTATCATTAAGGTTTGACTGGAACAACTTTAACCTTGTGAGTTACAGCCATTTTTAAAGAAGATCTTAATAAAAAGTAAACAAACATTGAATTTTTTTTCCCAGAACAGTGAAAGTGTCTCCTGTAATGAAATGTGCAAGTTCCACTACTGCTTACAGTACCTGTCAGGATTTTTAAAAGAAGGGCAATCTGATGTTAAGAGATTCAATGAAAGGTACCAGTGTAAGAGTTGACATTATGGAAAAGAACCATCAGCTGGGCCACAATACCACTTACTACACCTCATTCAGCCAAACAGCATTCATTTCACTGCACAACTCATGTGCTGTCAATCAGAGCAAAAATGCATAAGGCCATAAAAGAGAGTATTATTCTAATGGTATAGTCCTGCAATTTCACCTACAATGGCATCATCCATATTGTACCACAAGATATGATGGCCTCTAGTCTATGTTTAGACAGCGTAATTCTAGATGCTAAACCTAGAGGAGGTTTCTCCATGTCTTTCCATTGGAGAGGGAATTAAAAAAAAAAAAAATTCAGAGGAAGTCCTAGCAACACTAAAATCAAAAGCATTTCTCTCATGTGAAGTTTTCATTTAGAAACAAAGGAAAGATGCCTTAGTAACAATTTGAGAGAGAAGGGATTACAAAATATATTCATAAATGTTCTTCAAGATTGCTCATGAGTAGCTTATTAGCCATATGCAAGTACAGACAAAATACTTGAAATATTCAGTGGGATTCACTGAAATGAAAGAATCCATCTCCAAAAGCTATTACTGAGTTTTTCTTCTATTCAAGTAGCCACTAAGGACAATAAAGCACTCCATCTCAAATATCTTAAAATATTTTTTGGGGAGAGATGGGGTTCAGGGTCATTCTTCTTACAGATTTTTGGAGGGTTAAGAGCAGTGACCACAGACCCCACATAAACAAAATAATGTGGCCACAATATAGTCTATTTTGTAAAGATTGAACAATAGAAAATGACATCCAAAGTACTGAACACACGGAAAGGGTATGAATTAAAACTAAACTGCTCTTCACCAAATTCTTCAGCTTTAAGAAAACATATCCATCTGACTAAAATTTGAAGGGATGTACAAAGGGGCTGTTGAGTAGCCTAGCAGTAGCAGCTGTGCACTTCCATAAATACTGAATCCACCACTCCTCATTTACCAGTAAGAGATATCGGTGAGGCTGTTAAGGTATTACTGACGCACTCAGGAAGTAATTTGCGCTCAGTGGCAGCCCGCTAGATATTTAAGAAGTCATCCTCAAGCACTTCTTAATGGACTGTAACTTTTCCATTAAAAGCAGTGCCTCAACCTTGGTCCTTTCAGGGAGAAAGCACTATAAAGCAAAAGGGAGGATCCTCGAAAAAAAGTAGAGTAATCATGAATTTCAGGTGCAACACCCAAGGCAAACAGACACTATTTCACTTGTGGTCCATCTTTCAGCAGTTGCTTACCACTGCACACAGAAGAGGTGATGTTGTACAGAAAAGGATAAAACTGCAAACAGCGGATCATCTTCAAGCTGCTTTCACACTCCAAGCACTTGGTCGTCAAATCCAGTGCATGTCTGAAGGCCTGCAGGGCTCCACTAATGTTGTTCAGAGCCAGATACGCATTTCCTAGGCTCAAAAAAGTCAGGGGCTGCGAAGAGAAAAGCAACATACCTCAGCATAAGTATGTTCACTGTTCAAAATTGAAGCCAACTAGGAAAAACCCCTGTCACTCCACATTCTCCCAAATTTGGCTGGAAAGAATTTAGAAAGCTTCTTAAATAGGGGCTACCTATTCTTAGAATGGAGAAGTAACAGCTTGATGCATTGGTGCTAAACGAAAGCTGTTTTGACATAAGGTTGTGTTCAGGATTCCATCTTCCTATGATGAAAACCAGCTGTTAAATACACACAAGCTGAAATGAAGCATTAAATACTTACTTATAACCCATCACAAACATAATGCTTACTGCACAGAGTAGCAAAGAACTAAATTGAAATGCTTGAAGTTATTTTAGAATGATTAAAAGTCAGCAAAAATGTAAAAATATTACTAGTGTTCTAGCAGGCCAGACGCATTTCATTTGTCAGGAGTGTTCAGGATTTACTTAAGCAGAACGACGTTACTGAAAACACCAATGTCACACTAGCTTAGGGGTATACATTTATGTTTACTTTCAATTCTTTATAAAACTTAGTATTTTTGTCCACTACTTTTGGCTAGTCTTCCTAAAATACGTATTTTTTTTTTAAAGTACAAATTATAAACACCTTTTTCACTGGGTAGAATTTAATTAGCACTTTAACACAGGCACATAGTAAAGCATTACATTTTGTTTCTTGACAAAGTAATTTGCTGTAATTAATAGTATAATGCTAGAATAATGACTATAGTATTGTAATTTAGCAGTCATTTTTTCCACTGAAATAATTTTACTTTCATTATAGGAAAATGTGGAAAGCTTAAGATTTTTCAAACTCGTCTTAGCTTGTATTATTAAACACCTTTCAGAAAAAGGTGCAAGCTGAGCAACAGGATTTTTTTTTTTTAAAAGCTTTCGGTAATAGCACATCCTTCACTCCCTGTAGCTGTAATTAACAGTACATCCTTCACTCCCTGTAGCTGTAATTAATTTAAATTTGTATTTACTTTCCATTATATTCCAGGACATACTATTCAAGTACAAATTCTCCTGCCAGACTTTTTGATACAATAGGTATTACAGGGCTGAGAATGCCTGAAAAAAATAGGAGCAGGCATTATTGTAACGAGGTAGGACTCACCAACATTTTTGAAGAAAAGCCTTACTCACACAGCACGGTCCTAAGAATTCCTAGACTTCTCCCCTCCAAGGCTGTCCTTTCAAGTGTTCTTCTTAAGGAACATCATTCAAGCATAGTTCTTTCTATTGCACTCTTACCTGCCACCCAAATGGGCTAGATTCCTTTCCAATAATTGCAAAATTGTTCCTGAATGCTATATTGAAAAAGCTTATTCTGTTTTTAGCTTTTTTATGTGCTAGATGACTGGTGGCCCGGCAGGTTTAAGCTCCCTGTTTATCTTACTACAGAGGCAGAAGCACAGGAAAAAGTCACTTGAACTTCTTACTGAAGCATCTCAAATGTAAGACCAAAATTACTTGCTGGAGAAAAGGTGTCCCCCGCCACGCCCCCCGCCCGCTTCCTCTTCACAATTGTTCTGGCCAGTCCAGTAGTTTAAACAGCTTATACAGAAACTTTCTACGTGACATAGGTGACAACCTACAAAATGTTTGTAATGTTACCATGCAGAAATACAAAAACCTGTTTTGAATCTATGGTTGGAAGTAAAGTCACCAAACAACTAGAACACAGCTTTTCCTCTAGGTATACAGATGAAATCTAGGGACAAATAAAACAGTATAGATAAAAAGTCAAGTGGCACAGAAAGATGTCTATACAGCCTAAGATCTTGGTGACATACGTGCTATTTTAAGGGTTTTAAAAATCAAGATACAATGCTGACAGCATTACGGATCTCTGTTTTAGATGAAAATGTTGCCAAAAGAGCACGATTAGATTCCTTGGAGCCACTGCTGATAATACAGGTTCTGAGAGGCAAAAAGTCTGTGATCTCTTTTAGAACTTCTGCTCTAGATGTTTATATTCTCAGCAACCAGCATCACCCCCAGTGCGATCAAGAATTTAAATGAAAATTAACGTCTGTTGCAAATCACAAGCTGGAAGTTGAACTGCATGCCCAGGTAAGCAAGCACAAGTAAGTAACATGTATTTAGAAAATAATGAAGGAAAGGACATTCACTGCTGAATGAACACAAAAAACATTAATCTTACCTCAGAGGCATTGATGGCCAAAGAAAAAAAAATGGCATCCAAATGAAGACCATAATGAATCAAGAGGTTAGCAAGATTGACCAGAGGGATGTCCTGATACTCATGTGGAGCCAAATTAAATGCTTTTTGCAAACAGGTGATAGCAAAGGTGCTATTTCCAACTGCACGCCAGTACAATCCAGCTTCATTAAGCACAAGCCATAGACGATCTTCCGGCTATAGGAGAGTCAGGGAAAAGGATGAAAACACCCACAAAGAGGTGTCTCAGGAGGACAGAATTGCCTGCTCTTTGGTAAGGAACAAACAAACAAAACTCACCCTTGCATACTACCTTATTAACTAGACACAAATTACACTTTGCTGTGACTGCTAGCAGATTATTCAATCTGCTCTACTCTACTCAAATTGACCCGATTTACAGTCTGAACTGTAATTTAGTAGCAGCTGTTGCTCACACTCTACTCATACGACTGCCTTATATCATGACCACAAAATCCCTTAAAATACACAAGTGATAATGGTTAGCTCACTTCAGGAAGCAACACTTGTGAGCCACTTCGGTCTTAAAATTACATTAATACGGATCTATGCAGAAATGTTACAATTTGAAGGTCAGGCGGCTTTTAAATTGTAGTTAGATGTGCTTCCAGGTCCTATATCCAACATCAAGATTTCCTGTCAATTTAAGGTTTCAGAGTCATTTTTTCTTAGATTTAGTTATCGATTTGTCTTATGAAAGTTGACAAGTGACACACATTAGATACTGTTTAAAGATTATAAAATAGCAAGCAACAAGTGAGGGCGGGTGGAAGAATGGAGAAAGTGTCAAATACACCTTGAACGTTCCTTCCTCCTCTTTCACTTGTAACAGAAAAAACAAACATTCATCCTAGAGGAGAAATAGCGAAACTTTGAAATACTGACAGGTGGACAGAGCTATGTAAAACATCCACTTTCAGATGGAGCAGTCTGAAATGGTTTAGAAACGCTTACATTCTCGTTTTTAGTATTTTCAGCATTCTGCGTTACCCAATTCTACGAAGAGTTTAAAGTATAAAAGCAACAACTGAAATTAATGTCCAATCCAACCCACACGTCTGAAGCCCAAATGCATGCATGAGTAGGAAACCTGCAGCTAGGATTAAAGAAGCAAAACAGATAAGGATCTTTACAGTAGTATTGTATTAACGCAACACAGTAATACTGTGTTGAAAAAATTAACCAGTACAAATATTTTCTTCCAGATTTTAAAAACAACCTCACACAGGAGGGTTCTACCTATGGTTCAAGATGAACTGGAAGATGTCAATAGGATATATTGCCTCTTTGTTCGGAGTACCTTACATAATCTATAATTGGAAGAGTACTTATCACCCCTATTTTGCAATGCACATACATAACATTACTTACATGTTATTCATGCCAAACTCCTCACTGAATTACACTCCATAGGCAGGTCTCAATGACCTTTCTTTAACTAAATCCTCAGCAAGTTATTAGCACTTTGTCTTTCCCAATACAAAGATACCAACTGTGGCACTCCTGCTCTAGGAAGTTTATCATCAGCAGAACAGGCATGACACAACAGTGTTCTTACAGCAACATCTAAATGACCCAGAAGTTCAGACATTTAGCATGAAGGCAACAGAATACCACAGTTAAAACCAAAATACCTACGCACTGCAACAGTAAGACATTAGACATGTATAGGACTGTCCTGAACAGCATAATAGGAATCAATTCCTACTGTTAATTTTTCTTCTGGGTAAGACAGATGCACATAGTAAATGGTACTGATTTTAGACTAAAAACAATACATACATACACTGCCTTGACAAAACTTGTACAAGAGAGTTAATTTGAGAAATATCAGCTTGACACGTCAAAAAGAGTCAACATCTACCTCAATGTTTCCTGTCATTTGACTTGTGATGACTCTCAAAGGCCCCATGCAAGATGGAGGTGGCATTCCACAGGGTGTTATACAGATGTACATTCTTTGCCCCAGAGTGCTAATTATCCTGACAGAAGATTGACAGAGGGTTGGTTTCTTTGGAGGGGGGTTGAGGGGGAAGGCAGGGTACTGGGGAGGAGGAGGAAGAGCAAAAGGCAGGCATGTAGGGAGGGGTGAAAGATGCAGGAGTTGTTCCAAGCTATTTCTCTCAGTTAAGCAAATGGCTGCCAGCATTAGCTAATATATTTGCTGCTCCACGTCCTGCAGTCACAAGAAGATCAAGTAACTACAGGGCTGTCTGGGCCACACTAATTAAACGGATACTTCCCTATATGTTTGTGCTTTACTTGTAAACACGGATTTTTAAAGTTAGTTTCATCTCAGTAACAGGCAGCAAATAAGCTTATTTCTTGCACATCACTGACTGACTTCTTTAGAAGTACAGAAACAAGCCTCAAATAAGAATTCTGAATTTATCTCATGCTACAGTTTTTTTACGTACCTTTTTCATGGCATGATCTAGAAACGCTCCTATCTTCGCCTGTGTAATAGTTTGATTGTTGATACGAGAATGCAAAACCTGGACGACAAAGATTTAATTTTTTTTTTTTTTTTTAAACAACTGAATTAATTTTACAGTATATATCTACATGGGTCATTCAAGTCTCACTTCCCTAAGTCTTCCTTTTAGTAAGGGGACGGGGGGGAATAAAAATTGTTCTAAACAGATTACGTGAACATGTAACGATTAAAGCGGCCAACCTCCAGAAAGCAATATGAAGGACTAATTTCAGCCTAAAATTACCAACTTAGTAGAATACAGTACTTATTGGAAACCCCAAGAAGATGAATCACATCAAGTGACTGTTAGAAGTTTTAAGAGAAATTTTTAAAGTAATTTTAAATAGTAAATTACGTTTCCTATTCTGTGTGCTTTTGGTCACCATCTGAAAGAAGTCAGACAACAAGTCTTATGCTGAGTGACAAGTTCTCCCTTTCTCTCAGCCCTATTAGAAAGCACTTGCTCCTCTTTTTTTACTGATTGGCTTGTAATATCAAGTAATCTTTCAAATATCAGAATCTTTCATGTTCTGAGTAGGATTTTTAAGGCAATAAAGAGGAGAACTTTGAAACAGAAGAGAACTAATGAGAAAATGTCTCTTACTTGTCTTGCTTGATCATCCGGCATCTTGAATTTCAAATCTAGATTACTGTCTAGTTCCTTGACCAGTATGTTTAGGGATTCATTGTTACGAGCATCAGTAATGAAAGAACAGTCTGGTGCCTGGGTTTCTCCATGCCCAACAGTATCTCTTGGGATACTCAGGATTGGCTGGACTCTAGCAATAAGGAGAACCAAGACAAATTAATAGCATGTGCTGCATGTCACTGATGAATAAACATAAGAATCAGCTATGTATCAACTGACAAGCCTCATACTGTAGACTGCCACGAGACAGGAGCCGCAAACCAGGAGAGTCCAAGGACCACCCTTCCCTTGAAAAGTCATTAATAAATAAGGTCTTTACTTTCCATTTTTAAGCATAGAATACCTGTAATAATGGACAATGCAGTAGAGGTAAGACACAGAAAGTTCTCGTATTATGCTAATAAAGATTGTATGAAGTTTAGGACTAAACAGATAAGCGAAAAAGAAAATGCTGAATTTTTTTAAACTAAAGTTTGATTTCAAAAACATCAAGAGGTAGCCAAATTATTTGGGAACAACATTCTAAGCTGAACGCTGTTGTTTTCAAAGGAAGCTTCAGGACATTTGTGGATGGGAACCTTTGCTTTAACGCATGCTCAATACTAGAATTATACTGATTAGGAGGAGAAAGCTTTCTTATTATCACTATTATAATGTTAAGTGAGTAGGATATTATGATATTGCATTGATCTAGGTAAGGTAGCTATTGCAACATAGACACATTTATTTTATCCTATGTAATAACGAATATTACTCACTATTCCACAACTAAGCTGGTTTTCTACCTCTGTCCCAAAGGAACGAGCCAGGGCTTTTCACTCCTAATCCTTTTTTAGTATTTTCTGGGCTTCACAATTTTCTGTTATCGTAACTAAAGCTAAGAGGATGTATGCAATGTACAACAGTTAATTGTAGTTATTAAATAGATACTCACCTCATTCTCTCTCTCAAGGTCTTTTTTTTTTTTAATATACTCTATGAGACATTCAGACTTGTGCTTAAATCCTCATTCTTTTAGTAATACTGTAGATATTTCAGGTATTCGCCTTGTACTAACAGTCAGGGAAGAGTCACCATGAAATTGGATCTATTACAGTTACAGCAAAGACGACAATAAAGGAAAACACCCTCCTTCTGTGGAACAGCCAGAGAAAGAGGTCCAAACACATCTGTGCTGTTGATTACTAATTGCATCCACCCTCTCCAGAAAGAAAATACTCATTAAGACATTAATGTGAAAATTTACAAATATAATTTTAAAAAATAAACACTTGCCTGAATCCCCTATTTTCTGGAGGCAGGAAATAAGTTGGCAGTTCTTCTGGATCAGGAATTTTGGGGAAAGATTTCATGCACTCTGATCGCTGAGGCCAAAGAATATGCTGTTTGTCCTAAGGGGGAAAGGAATTATCTTTTATTATTTTCTCAACATTTTTAATATTTTAACAAGCTAATAAGAACATAAGGAATAGTCTGGAGGAAAAAAAGAGCAGATATCTTTAAAACTATTATTTTTCCATCTTTTCTGGAATATCAGCAGTTCAGTTTCCTATCTTTACTGAGCTGTACTGCTTTATTTGCAGCAGATGTTTACAAAGGTAGCTAAGAACAACCCCCTCGGCGCTGTAGTAGAGTTTCAAATTATGGGAAACTGGTACAGAGAAACTACAGAGATGCTTATATGTTGCAGAAATTCAGAACGCTACATTCTCCAGTGCTGCCGCACATCAAAACTGTAGCCCAAATGCTAAGAAGCTTCACATAAACGAGGACAAGATTCACTCTTTCACAACTCCTCTTTGAAAGGGCAAAGCTTATCCTCTTCACTCACTCTATGGGATTCTACACTCCACACTGAAATGATAGAACGAGCAACAGGGGAAGACTGCAAGGACTGGCTGTGGTCGCTTTGGTTTGCATGATGATCGAAATTCACAGATGTCATACTAGAAGTTGAAGAGTCTTCACCAAACTAGAAACAACAGAAAAACAATATTTAATAAAGAAAAGAGATGGTATATTACTGGCTGAATTTCTGCACTTTTTTTTTTTTCCCCACCATTTATGTAGTTAAGCCTCACTGATGAGCTGAAATTTGGGTAGCAGAAAAAAAAATTGAGATTTAAGCTTCTTGATCCACTCGCACCATGGAAAAGTAATATTCATGTTGTAAATAAGTCAACAGTGAAAACACAAGTGCAAATCAACAAAAAAATGCTAAAAGGTACCAAGCAAACATTTCTAATAGACCACAAACAAAATCTACTCATCTAGATGGCATAGCTCTAGTTCAAGTCAGAGTTACTAAGACTCATGGCGTGCAAAATTATCTTGATAATCTGAATTTGTAATTATTATAATAGGAAGAACATCCAAGAAGAAAACAGCATAATTAAAAATAATTATTCCTGTTTCTTAAACTAGTTAAGGGGAAACTTCAGAACACATTCCACATTGCAAAATAAATGAAACTACAATCTTTATCTGTAGTTCTAATGCAGCAGTGGTGTTGCTTGGATGGTTTTCGTTCTGGATTTTCAGTATTAGTATACACTTTGCTTCCAAAGCTTCTTAATATTCCTGTAGCAGATTTCCTTGCTGCACTGTCTAATTAAAGATACACAATCAGCAAATACACACAAAACTGGACTAACACCTTATTTTTGGGCTGCAAAAGCACTCACTAGATTCAACACCACTGAGCTCTGCTCTTCCAGTTGTTAATTGCTTATGGCAGTTTTGTGCTCCTTCTGGTAAGAAAAAAGATTAAATTGGAAGGAGCATGCAAAAGTTGTGTAGCTTGAGTCGTACAACAGTGTCATAAACAAAAGACACTATGATCCATTCTAAGACTGTAGAGATAAGTGATTGATACAATATTATTTTAAGCACACTTTTAAGCTGTTATGTTGGAATATTCTTTCCACTAAGGAATAATTCTTGTTCCATGTACCACACGTACATTAGAAAACTGACTCCTTAGAAAACCTTTGCCTCTTCATTAACATTAGCTGCCCAATGCTTTTTCCTGTCCTCTCTGAAGGAAACTGAATTGGAAATTTAAACATGTTATGCTTCTGCTAGCATGCCTGAAATGTAGTATATTTATGTAAGAGAAAGCTGTAATTCCTCAAGTGAGGATTCTCGTACTTCCTAGGAAGAAATACTTGGCTGTTCTAAGCGGGCTGAAAAAGCAAAGGAGTCAATATAGAAGTGGCTGTTAACTCACAGAAAACTAAGACTTTGGACTAAAATAAAGTTTTTCAATTCAAATAATTCGAACAGTTCTCTTTTCTAAGTAAAAAAAAAATCTTATACAATAAACCCTCTAAATTCCTATAATCCACAGTCGATCTCAGTTTGTATTACTAGCAAAAGAAACTAGCATTAAATACTTTACACTCTGGAAAAGAGACTAAATGATTTCTCGCTGTAATTGCCACACCCAAAATGGACCCCCTTTGTCAAGCCTCAAAAAAATGGAACTATGTGGCTAATAAAGCCAAAGGGATGCAACTTAAAGCAGTGGTATCAATTCACAGACAAACCTGAACATATTCCACATTTTCAAAAATGTCTCCGCGGTGATAACGAACAGGCTGGTCCCACTGGCAGTGCAAGCTATGCTGCTGGTTGCCCAGTCTACAAATCTGATGGTTCCCTGCAGAGCACAAAACATTTTTTTTCTACTGTATAAGTGAGGTTTCCGAGGAGACAAAGACAGCATACAGTCAATCCCTCCACCCCCAATCTGGTCAATCCTTTTTATTTATTTAATCAGCACAGAGGAAACTCTGTCTTCGAAAGACACAAAAAAAACCCTGTTCAGGAACATATTGCAATCCCTTGTTTTGATAAGCAAAACACAACAGCCACTCAGGGCCACCTTAATATATAAAGAAGTTATGTCCTCACATTAATCTGAATATGTGCAATTCTTCATTGCTATAATGAGCATGAACTCTAAAAAGCTGTACCTAATTGAGCTTCTTTTGCCATCTGTGTCTCGTGAATGATGTTCCTCAAGATTTGTTCCTCCTGGATGAGCTTGTACTTGTCTAAAACATCTTGTTGCCTAAGGTAATGGTCATGCTGCTTCTGATACTCCTTCAATTCATTTAATGTTCGCTGAAGTGATCTTGAAAATTCAACAGTAGAAAAAATTTGCTTTGAATGCTTTTTAAAGTATCAGCTTTTCCTACAGTGTTGCACATTTTCAACTCTGGGTTTCCTAAAGTATGCTTATGAATAATTTTATTGCATAGTCAAAGAAATATAGAAAGTCGAAAATCATTATTCTACTTGAAATGTAAATAATTGCTGCAACAGAACAATAAAAGTGAGATTGTATGAATTGCCACTAGAATGCTTCTTTAGTTACCTATGCTGGGCTTCCAATTTTTGCTCAAGTTTTTGCTGACATAAGACAGCATGCTTCCTTTTTACAGCTTGCTCAAACCCTGGTTTGGCCTGTAGAGCATGATCATAACACAGGACTGAGTGGTTGTACTCTCCAAGCATCTGAAGAATGACCGAGAGAGAGAATTAGCCATTGTTTGGTAATATTTAATAAAAAAATACCAGTTTTTAAAGCCATTAACTCAAATTTTAATTTGTGGTAACAAGCAGCCTGTCTTTTCTGAAACTCAAGCCACTGTATCTGCTAAACAAAGGTTGTAGGAGAATTTCCCTGGGATTTATTTCCAAGTGCAGATAAAAACTTCTGCTGAAAGACAGACTTTTGGATGAAAATATCTTGACAGAATCGTAAACATTAAGCGTGAAATGCATGTGGAACACAAGATGCACTGTAAAAGGGTAAAGCATTACAAGTCAAGCCAGAAAGATTAAATAATATTTGGTTTTCTACAAGTCTTGGAAAATAAAGATAGTATTTACTGCGTATATATTTCCCAGAGTGTAATAGCTGGTAAAGAAGTCACTGTAATCCAGAGCTGCATGGACCACAATAGCTGCATCTGCAGAGAAGTGAGCCCGGTGCAGAATATTTGCCAAATTTACCAGTGCAATATCTTTATTTTGCCTAAAAGAAAAAAAGAAAATGAAAAGAAAAAAAGAAAATGAAAAGAAAAAAAGAAATGAAAAGAAAAAAAGAAAATGAAAAGAAAAAAGAAAACACAGACATTAAAAGAAGGTCAGACTGTGTAAGAATCAAGCATAAGGATACATTCATCCGTCAGTCACATATTAAATATGCAATTTGATAGAAAAATTTCTAAATTATATATATGCCTAGTATAGCACATAAAGACTACGAACAAGTAACATGGATTACTCCTTAGGATAGAGTCTTAGAAACTGAAACCTAGTTAGGATAACTGAAAACTAGTTAGGATAACTAGAAAAGCAATCTGAAAAGAAATGTTTATTAGCAATTCTTACCTTGAAGAAAAATGAAGGGCACGCATGGCACATTCTACTACTTGGTATGGCTCATTTTTTATCCGCCAGTAAAAAGAAGCCATATTATAGAGCACCCAGGAAGAAGAGTTCTGCAGTAAAGATAAACATATGCACTGTACTAACTACTAAGACATGAACTAAAAGGTTAATCAGGGCTTTAATTACTATGGGATGGAAAGCTGAGCACCAAACCTGCTCTAAGTTATCCTCTTCCTCTGGAAAGCTGCCATTTGGCAATACTTGTGAATGTTCATGACGAATGAACTCACATATAAATGTATTAAAGAAACAGAACTTCTGCCTTTCAGACAGGTAAAAATTCAAAATGAGATTAAATGAGAAGTGACAGCAGTTTAAGCATCAGCAGCATAGCTGGCGTTCAATGACAGTTCCTATATTTTGCAGGAAGGCATTTAATAAAAACATACGCATTTCAGTACTATTGTTTCTTCTTTAAGTACCTGCATTTTTGTTTAAAAACTCTTGTTACCTTCACAGAGCAATGAATGTGGCTTGCCAGACCACACAAATACATGAGTCATTAAAGATGACAGTAACTGTCTATTTACTGGCTTCGGTGATGCCTTCTCCTACTTCTGCTTGCCTAGCAGAAAATGTTTTTAGTCTGCCTTTTGTAACTGAAATGTAAACCAAAAATAAACGTGCAAAACTAGTACTGGATATGATTGCGTGTACCAGGCATATCTAATCTCGAGAGACCTTTCTAGCACTCTTTTTGTGCGTACAGCAAGATTACAGTTTCATACCTTCATTAGCCCGTCATAAATACGATGACCTATTTCCTCTATACTTCTTCCCAGCCTCCGTGATAAGTATGTGAAGATTGGATCTTCTTTAGGTAACAAGGGTGCGGAAAGATTAACTCTTTCTTGGACACCCTAAAATAAAAATTGAATATAGGTAGTTGCTGACACTTTAACTAGAAGTAGAGAAATACACACAAGAGCGTGACTCCCAGGAAAATTTACAGCTTGGTTATTTTGCATTCCTATCATCCTTTCATATCAAGATCTTAGGGACTTGACAGGATAATGTCACCTTTGACAGATGAATAATATATATTATAATAGATAGGCAAACAATAGAAGCAGGCAAAAGCAGCCTCTGCTTGTGAATGCTATAGGAGAAATACTCATTTCTGGTAGCACTGTGTATCTGACAGCTATTGATTTCACTAATGACCACTGACGCACTTAACTCATGTTTGTCAGCTTACGTGCATGCTATGAAAGTATCCCCACATCTCTTCTTCTCTTTCTTCCTTCCCCAATAACAAACGCACTCCTTTCAAGAGTACATCCAGACCCAGGAACAGAGCTAAAAAACTTCAGTTCCTGTTTTGTCCGTAAGAAAATCCTTATTTGTAGATGAAAAGTTATTTTAAAAACTTGTAATAAACTAAATATCAAGATATAAGCACTAAAAACTGCATCCGCATTAGAAAATTTGCTTGTATAATACTGTTGACAAAAACAATTTTTGCACCATGCTTCCACTGTAACCTTTCTAAAGCAGATGAACTTTGTACTAGTAAAGAACAATTATCTCATCCTCTGGGTTAGGGCTTGCCATTCAGATACCAAAGAGACAGTCAAGTATATTAGGAGCTACCGACAAGCCTGCAAACAATTTTCTGACCCTGAATCTTCACGCAGTTTAACGACCCTGTTCGGCACTCTCCAATTTTCAACTGAAACAATTCACAGATTAGAAGCATTTCCAATGAAAGCTACCATTTTACTAATGAAACGTGTGTTATGAAAACAAAATACTGCATTTTCCTAAAAATGCCCTCTAAAATAAGGCAAACAATAACAAAAGAGAAACAGGATCTGTGTATCTGATGGAACTGTCCTCCTATAAGAATGTACTTTAATCAGGGCACAACTGTGGTTTAAAAAAAGTCTGAAACAGTCTTGAAAGATTTCAATACCTTTCAACCTTGACTGAGAAATGCCAGTAAGAGTTTTCTACTCCTCTTCCTGATGGGGAAGAAAAACATACTTGCATTTGCTCACTTACCCGTAAGTGCTGAAAAGCATGAATACTGTATGGAAGATCTAGAACTTTTGTACAGTCTGGCTGCTGCAGGTCTGGAGGCACTGGCGACTTTGTGTCTATATAGTCTTCAGGGCTGGGGACATAACAACATAACACAGCAGACTCCAGATTAAAATACTGCTGAAGTTCAAAAGAAACAGTACTGTAGTTTATGGGCACAGTGTTCTGATTTGACTGTTACAAAAATCCTGTGCTTGAGCACATCAGACCATTTCTGATGTCTTCCCAGATTTCAGTTGTACCGGGATGTCATCACTACAGGATAACGTAAATAAATTTCTGTCTGCTTTAGAGAAAATATCAACATTTGGATAGCCTCCAAAATGTATCAGCGTCAACCTAGTGTATCAGTACTATGATTAATGATCTATCTGCCAGGCAAATTGCAACGTGTGCAGATTCAACTGAAACAAACAAACCAACCCCAAGTATTAGCGAGAAGCCAAAATGAAGGTATCTGAGGATAAAATTAATGTTTTTCCACTTCAAGTACTCATCTGATTACGTTAAAAAAATAAAACTACAAAACCAAAACAGTCAGCCCTGAAGATGAATTACCGATGAAGCTGAATGTCAAGCAGACTGTCCACACATCCTTTACTTGCTAAACACAGGGGATGAAATATGACCAGAAGGTTCAACAGCTTGGTAATCAACAGAATTTCATTCAAATTTAAGTCAAGACAGTTTCCACTACAAGAAGTTTATATAGCTCAAAACACCCAAAGCGCACTCAAGCAAATTCAGCCCCCTTCTACATGATGCACTTCAGTTTAATTCACATGTCTGGTCATATCAGTAGAGTTACAGTGGCAGAACTGACTGGGAGCCTGGGAACAGAGTGGAGAAGTTTCAGGGTAGGGCTAACATGGACAGTTTGTGGGAGACAGCATTTGTGTGTCGTACCCTTTCATAATTAGTGGCAGAGGTTGTTTCAATTTTGTTCCACACTAACACAAAATAAAACAACTGTCATCTAAAGAACAGCCAGTGATAGTATTTTCCTTTTTACTTGCATTTAGAGATTTTGTTGATTTTTTCATTCAGTAAAAATCTTAAAATATAAAGCATCTTATTACCGGATATCTTTGCTCTCTAAGGTGATGTACGTGCCATCGTATAGATCTAGGTCCCCCAAGGGCACCTTTGCTTTAATGCAGTCCGGATCCTCTTTATTATGCCTTTGTTCCAGCCCTGTGTCTCTGTCCTCATTTTCCTCTATATGAATCTTTTGAGCAACTAACTGTTTCTGTAGGAATAAAAAATAAGGAAACAGGAGAATGTATATTGATGAAAGCAAACTCTGTAATTGCTAGGAGTTGAACAGTCCAACTTCTTCCTTAAAACAAAGTCCATTTGAAGAAAATCTAAAACACTCTTTTCAAATTTTGGGAATATTTCCCTATATTTTATAACATCTGTAGGACATTTTTTGATTTAGATGGAATATAAATACTTTCATTAGAGATAATACGACTTGAACAGGCACTTTTTTCTCCTGCTGTACCTAAAAAGAGGGCATTCCAAATTCACAGTAGGCCATTTAGAAAAAGAAGAAATAGTTGTTAACAGTAAGTCAACTTTTCCATATTTGGACCCTTCTCCTCCACTCTAAGACCTCATGGAAATAGTATTGGAGATTGCCGCAAACAAAATGAACTTAACCATTCAGCCTGCTAAGTACAACTGAGATGGCAGGCTAATGCAAGAATTGAGACTAATTTCTATCAGCTTATGATGTGCCTTAGGAGCTACCTTTCGCCCCATAAAGCTCATAGGTATTGATTACTACGAGCAGTGAATGGACTAACGATCTGTCCCAACACAGTAAGCTGTATTTAATTCTCATGTAGATCTGCAAATTGAAAACCTATTAAATATCATAAGGATTTGTGTATGTGAAATGAGAAGAAAATTTGCGTTTTTAATTAAAGCCATACACATTTGATCACACACTACTATGCAATACTAGAGATATATACAGTAGTAGCAACTTGTACAAGATCTTACAATAGATAACTTCTGCTGAAAGTAATTTGTATGCCACCGATTGTACATTGGTAATTTCCAAACCCACAACCCATGTCCCGAAAAGCTTACAACTATTGTTCCATCCATAGCTAAAATGTCCATTACCACAAAAATGAGTACACCTTGACGAGAAAGACTGGCTGAATACAGTCACACAAGGGGCACTCCTGCTTTTCTTCCTCCCTTCCACTTCTCCCATTCACCTAAAGCTACGTCCAGTGCTCATCTAACTTCCCACTTAGCTAGTTATGCTAATCTGACAAAACCAAAGCTGGCACAAGAGAAAGGAGCGCATGGCCAGAAGAAAGGCTGTGAGCTGTTAGCTTGCCCAACCCATATTATATTTAAACTTTATGTTAAGTTATCAGTTTGAAGTTCATTAAAGCCCTTTTCAGAAGGGTGTTCTCAGAGCCTTTTTCAATAATAAATGGGCTTGAAGAAAAACAGAGGTGACCTGCTCTGTATTCTTCTGGAATATAGTAGTCAGCAACAGAATCCAGTACCTAAATGACTTTACTTAAAAATGTTAGGATTTATGGACAACAACAGGGAATGATGCAACTGGGAGCAATGATAACCAGTTGAGCAAACTTGAGGCACAAAATTCTTGAGATCTGAAGAATTCTTCATCCTTTCACTGAAGCAGAATCATGCCAATAATGACTTCTGTTCCCCATCTAAATCTATCACTAAAAAGCCTGTGGAAAAAACTCTGTATTTTCAGAAATTAGTTAGTACTTAACATTATGCTTTACCTCCAGTTCTTTGAGGTAGTTAACTGTTGTTTCTTGTCTCATTAGTATTACCAAATCATGTGGGTTCCTCAAGTTCATTGGTGAATCCACCTGCAAGACATTTCAACAGTCCATCATATAAGACATTCTCCTTATTAGTGTTATTTTAAAAGGTAAGAAGTTATGTTCATTCAGCTACAGTTTATCTGTTCAAAGTTTTCTGTCCACTCAGCATACGTAATATGTCCATAACTTAAATCTGTACTTCAAACAACATTGTTATTTGAAAATATTTCAGACTAGATATAAGGAAGAAATTTTTCATGATGAGGGTGGTGAACCACTGGCACAGGTTGCCCAGAGAGGTGGTCGATGCCCCATCCCTGGGAACATTCAAGGTCGGGTTGGACGGGGCTCTGAGCAACCTGATCTAGTTGACGGTGTCCCTGCGCACGGCAGGGGGGTGGACTAGATGGCCTTTAGAGGTTCCTTCCAACCCAAACTATTCTATGATTCTATGAATCCAATTCAAACCACGCTTTAATTTAAAACCTATTTTAGTTTAGTCAGGCACACAAATTCTAAGCATAAGAGGCAAGTAGATTTCTCACAACAAACATTACTAAAAGTAGATACTGCTGAAATACTAGATACCTTAAATTGCAATCGCAAAAACCTGTTTTCTTCTATAGCTTTAAAATTCCTCCATCATGTCCCTCAATAGGCATAAAGTACTTCAGCTTCAAGTCAACTCCTCCATGCAACTAATTTAACACACCGGCCTAGCGTTAAAATCCATTGCCTTCAGGATTAAGACGTAAATGAACAAAATCAAGATGTAAGCAGACGAAGATTGAAAACTCTGTTACAGAAGACCGTGCTATAGCGTCCATAGCTATGCACAGGAGTTGGCAGCTCAATGAAGAGTGACATTATAGGTAAGTCACAGACAAGAGTGGTTACATGCCAGACCTTTACTGGTCCCTAATTAGGCTCAGTAAGCTATGGCACTTCACTCCACAGCTGAAGTACCCCAGCCTTATCTTCATGCCAAATCAATTCTGCTGCCTGACCGGGTCAGGGAAAATCACTACAGTTGAGAAGGTGGTATATGAGCAGCTGAGCTGATCCAAAGGCTCACCGCAGCTGAAAGGCTCACCTCCAGGCTTCCAGCCCTGTTTCCTCCAATCTGTCAGTGCCATACCAGTTAGTCCTGCATGTCAGCTCTGGTGCCCACCAGGCTCTCTTGTCAGCTAACCCAAACTCAGTAGCTGAACAGGACATAATACCCTATCGGTTGCTTTATCTGAACTAGTAAATTAAATTAGCTCATGGAGGATTCAATAAGTATGAGAACAGAAGCAAGGAAACGGACAGGAGTATGTAATGACAGGATGAAAGGACGAAGGGTGGCAAGGACAGCAAGATCTCGCAGTTTTAACATAATGACTGTTATGGTAGTGTCCTGGTTTCGGCCAGTCCGGGCAAGACAAGATGTAAAGAACGTGCTCTACATCGCAGCCAGGGAGAATGGCCATACCTAGAGCCTCTAGCAGAAAGCACCCCGAGGTCGACTTAGGGTTCTGGAGTCGGGGATACAGAGGATCCGAGGCCCGCTACACTCCAACTGAGAAGGAGATATTGGCAGCGTAGGAAGGGATTCGAGCTGCTTCGGAAGTGGTTGGCACTGAAGCACAGCTCCTGCTGGCACCCCGACTGCCGGTGCTGGGCTGGATGTTCAAAGGGAGGGTCCCCCCTACACATCATGCAACCGATGCTACGTGGAGTAAGTGGGTCGCACTGATCACACAACGGGCCCGAATAGGAAACCCCAGTCGCCCAGGGAATCTTAGAGGTGATCACGAACTGGCCAGAAGGCAAAGATATCGGAATATCCCCAGAGGAGGAGGTGACGCGTGCTGAAGAGGCCCCACTGTACAACAAACTGCAGAAAACGGGAAGCAATATGCCCTGTTCACTGATGGGTCCTGCCGCCTTGTGGGAAAACATCGGAGGTGGAAAGCTGCTGTATGGAGTCCTATATGCCGAGTTGCAGAAACTGCTGAGGGAGAACATGAATCGAGTCAGTTTGCAGAGGTGAAA